TTCAAATACATCCCCAACTGTGCGGCGCGAACTGTTACGAAACTGTTCCCGTCGAAACCATCCTGTCTGCAGGTGCCTAATGTTGTCTGCTACGACGGTTCAGATGCGTTCCAACCGTCTGACGCTTCGCGTTCATTCGCGATACTGCGTGCTTCTCTTTGCTGCGGTGAGGAGTGCACAATAATGTTCAGGTATTACTATTTGTAACACCCCCCTTCACTCCTGGCCGCAGCAACTTGACCTGCTTGACCACGCCACTGAGTTCGGAGCAGTGCTGATACTGCTGGCGTGGCAGTCGCTTCGTGAGGAAGTCTGCTGCCATGTCACCGGTCGGGCAGTAGGTCAAATTGACCTTGCCCTTGTCTACTTCATCCTTCATGAAGAAGTACCGCAGCGCAATGTGCTTGGTGCGGTTGACGAAACCAGGTTTGTTCGCGATCCGAATCGCGCTCTGGTTGTCGCAGTACAGGCGAAAGTTTGTTGAGGCCGGGATTTTTGCTTCCTGCAGCAGTTCCTGTAGGTAGAGACCTTCGCGAACAGCTGCTGTTGCTGCGATGAATTCAGCTTCCGCCGATGACAGGGCAACCAGCTCCTGTTTCTGAGAGTTCCAGGAGATGGGGCCGCTGGGCTCGAGGCGGAAAAGGAACCCTGTCCTGGACCGTCGATTGTCTGGGTCAGCGGCGTGATCGGCATCCACGTAGCCGACGAGACTGAAGGATGTGGTTGGGATGGTGGAATAACTGAGCCCGACATTGGGCGTGGAGATGAAAAATTGAAGGGCTCGCTGAAGATCTGAAAGATTCTCAGCCGTTGGTTTGCGTGAGTACTGAGCCAACTGGCTCGCAATGTAGGAGAGGTCGGGCCTGCAGATAACGGATGCGAAGAGCAGGCATCCCACTGCTGCTGGTAAGTGTGAAGCCCAGCGGGGGACAGGGCTTTGCTGTCAGGCTCGTGGTTGGGTCCTGGAGTGCGGTAGGGAGTGGAGAGTGGTGCAACTGCAATTTTGAAGTGCTTGCTAAGCTCCTTCGCATACTTTGCTGCTGAGAGATGAATGGCTTCCGACGAGTAGGTGATGTTGAGTCCGAGAAACTGCTTCACGTCATGATTGCAGGTGATGTTGACGCGCCCCCGTGGGTCTCCGTCGCCGTAAGTGTGTGGCTGTTCCACGTAGATCACGGCGTCCACTAATGCGTACAGGAACGCTTTCTTCACATCGATGTGCCGTAGTGGTAGGTGTCGTGCGGCTGCGGTGGCAAGGAGAATTCTCACGGACGTGTGACGGCTGACCTGTCAGAATATATTTGTAACTGCCTGTAGCTATAGTTAGTGTAGTTATTATAAACTTTGTTTGGTGGTGCACCTCCTTTGTTTCTTTGCTTTATGTTGTTGCCAACCTATAGTGAAACTCTCTTCTCTCCTCTCTCAACTTTCTCGACATCCTCCTTACCCTACAACTCGAACTACTAAGAACCTCCTTAACTATGGCTCCTAAGCCAACCTCTGCCTAGTATCTTAACATGGTATTCAGAGCAGGTACGTTCCTGCTGCCTTCCTGCTTCCGCTGCCTATCGTCTTGCCGTGCGCCTCGGGCGCGCGGCGTATTTTGCGCACGGCGATTTTCTGCCTACCGTGTGCTCGGTGCGCACGACGGGATTCTGCCCGCCGTGCGCCCTGGGCGCGCGGCGTCTTCCTCCCCCGCGCGTGGCCTGCCCTCACGCCGCCTGCGCGCCTGCCTCACGTCCACGGGCGGGCCTGATTTGCCCGCCCGTACCCTCCACTTCGCGGCGCCCTGCGAGGCGCCGCTCCTGCTCGTCGCGACGCACCTGCGGGACCCGGACGTCGCCACTCCTGCTCGTCGCGACGCCCCTGCAGGACCCGCAAGGCGTCGCCTTGCTCGTCGCGACGCCACTGTGGGACCCGCGGGGCGTCGCCACTGCTCGTCGCGGCGCCCCCTGGGCGCCGCTCCTACTCGTCGCGGCGCCCCTGGGGCGTCGCCCGTGCTCGTAGCGGCACTCATTGGGCGCCGTCCCTGCTCGTCGCAGCGCCCTCCCCCCTGGCCACCTCCTCTACCTCACCTCCGCCCGCGCCAGCATTGCAGCCGAGCGCTGGCCTACCCTGCCGCCACTGCAGCGGCCGCCCCAGCAGCAGCAGCGCCTGGAGCCGCCGCCCCAACAGCAGCAGCCCCTGGAGCCGCCGCCACTGCAGCGGCCGCCCCAGCAGCAGCAGCAGCGCCTGGAGCAGCCGCCCCAGCAGCAGCAGCCTCTGGAGCCACCGCCGCAACAGCAGCAGCCCCTGGAGCCGCCGCCACTGCAGCGGCCGCCCCAGCCGCAGCAGCAACTGGAGCCGCCGCCCCAACAGCAGCAGCCTCTGGAGCTGCCGCCACTGCAGCGGCCGCCCCAGCAGCAGCAGCGTTTGGAGCAGCCGCCCCAGCAGCAGCAGTGCCTGGAGCAGCCGCCCCAGCAGCAGCCCACGGCGCCGACCCCACAGCTGTATGCGCCGCCGCTCCTGGACTCGGTACGGCTGCCCGTGCCTGTGCTGCTTGTTACTGCCTATGCTTGTGCTGCCTGTTGCTGCCTGTTGCTGCCCGTGCCTATGCTGCCTGTTGCCGCCCGTTGCTGCCCGTGCCTGTGCTGCCCGTTGCCGCCCGTTGCTGCCCGTGCCTGCGCTGCCCGTTGCCGCCCGTTGCTGCCCGTGCCTGTGCTGCCTGTTGCTGCCCGTGCCTGTGCTGCCTGTTGCCGCCCGTTGCTGCCCGTGCCTGTGCTGCCCGTTGCCGCCCGTTGCTGCCCGTGCCTGTGCTGCCCGTTGCCGCCCGTTGCTGCCCGTGCCTGTGCTGCCCGTTGCTGCCCGTGCCTGTGCTGCCTTTGCCGCCCGTTGCTGCCCGTGCCTGTGCTGCCCGTTGTTGCGCCCCGCGGGTCCCGCAGGGTCGACGCGACGAGGCGGGGGCGACGCAGCGGGGCCGCGAAGGGCGACAGGGCGGGGTTGCTACGGGCAGCGGGGCGGGGCCGCGAAGGGGCCGCGAAGGGAGCCGCGAGGGGGCCGCTAGGGGGCCGTGAAGGGGCCGTGAAGGGAGCCGCGAGGGGGCCGCGAGGGGGCCGTGAAGGGGCCGTGAAGGGGCCGCGACGGGGCCGCGAAGGGGTCGTGAAGGGGCCGTGAAGGGGCCACGAAGGTGCCACGAAGGGGTCGTGAAGGGGCCGTGAAGGGGCCGTGAAGGGGCTACGAAGGTACCACGAAGGGGCCGCGACGGGAGGCCGCGGGCCTAATAAAACGGGCTAAATTGTGACTGCCCGTATAATTTCCCCTTTTCAAAACTCAAAATTTTGCGAACTGATGCACTGGATGTGGCAGTCTTACTAGTTAGCCGTTGGATTCTTTTTAGGGTGAGTATTCCACCAAAACAATACCCCAAAACGGGAGTTTGTATCTGCCCGTTATTTGTTGTGCGTATCTTCATTCCCCCCTCGACGAGCGCATAGGGCTCGCACAGGCCATGCGGAAAAATTCCTAGTGAAACCAAGCTCGTGGAATTTTCTCAGCGCACAGAGAGTTATGCGTTCTTGCGCACGCATGAGTGATGCGCGCACAACTCATGCACTAGAGGTTCGGGAGACAATAACGATTTGGGAGGCTCGACGTGGGCTTTAAGCCTTGTTATGCGCATTCCGAGAATGTTCAGCGTTGGGGCTGAGCACCCCTTATGCGCCAACAGAATGGGGCCGTGGGATAAGGACGGGATCAGGAAGGTGGGTCTCGCCTTCTTGATCCCGTCCGTTAGTGTTCGTTTACCTCTGTCAGCATGGTCAGCCCGTAAATAAGGTGCCGATCCTCCCCAACCGTCCAAACCAACAATCAAAGGGGGTGTCTGGCGAATGCCTCCATTTCTCCCACATAACGAAATGCTCGACGACATATGGAAGCGGGAACGCAACTTCGTCCCCAGGCAAAGTTCCATCCCCAGGCCATGCCATTGCCATCCCTCGTTTTTCGAAGCACAGCGATGGCACAGCCGTCGCATTGCCGTTCAGAGGGAAACCTCTGAACAAGCCAGTTGTTTGACAAAGGGGGGTTCGAATACCCCCCATTTTTCCCCACCCGAACACACCTTCGAAAAGCCCCTCGCGCATGACACGGTGAGGGGGTTGTATTTGAAATGAGTGTTTTTTTTTTTTTTTTTTTTTTTTTTTTTTTTTTTTTTTTTTTGCGATTGGTACCCTGGTTCGTTTTTTACCCTCGGTCTGGCACTGGTCAGTGGCGCGTAAAATTCGCGCCACTAGATGAGGAAGGTGGGGCTGGGGGTTCCATATGCGGTTGCGAAATTTCCTGTTTTGGGAATTGTAGCTTCGCGGACCGCATTACGCCCAGACCTCTTTGGCGGGTTTCAACCCCGGTTCCGGATGCGGTCACCATGCTGATGCCGCCAAAATGCGGCAGTTTTGAAAGTTGCTGGCGAACACCGCCAATATTGAGGGGGTGTGGGTTGCCGCACAAACCGGTGGATCCGTTAGAAGCGATCCCAAAGTCTTCAATAATACGTATACACCGTGTTTTCCTCTGAGTTCCTGCTCTTATTCATTCTTCTGTTTGGTTGGTCCTTGCTCAATTACACGGTTTCACTTAAAATTTGCAAAGCTCAAAGAGCAGTCAGACAATCAGCACAAAAAACTCATTTCCCAGAGCAACCTAACACGTAATTTCACACATATATTCAACAGAACAACACTCAGATTTAACTGTACACAAGCTGCCTACTGTGGCAGTGGAAACCACTCCTCCAACGCCTTGCTGCAGCAGCACATACTATCCTATTCCACTCCGGTCGCTCAAGCCATAAGCACAGACCTCCAGTGTAAGCACACACTCTGCTCTGGGTACACTCATGGTATTCAGGCTTTTTTCTATCAGAGCAGGCTAACACCATCCCGGCATCACCTCCCTCCAACTCTCCTTTTCACCTGCTGTTCCTTCATCTTCCCCACAACCCACCGCCGCGCCCCTCCTTCCTGCTACTCTCTCCTCCCCTCCTTAGCCGACTCGAACATCCCCCATTGTCGCCTCGCCACCATTCTACCCGCCCGGTGCGCCTGCACAAAGAGCTCATGCGCTGCTGCTGCATTCCCCAGCGCCTCCTCCACCTCTGCTGCATTCCCCAGCGCTGCTGCATTGCCCGGCTGGGCTGAGAGGGCCAGTGATAGGAGGGACCGGGCCTTGAGAAAGCCCCTGCTCCCGCTCCACCAAGCATGCATACCGGTATGATGGGGGACACAAGGCGGAGAGAAGCAGGGGGGGCAGGAGGTGTCAGATGAGGAAGTAGGTGGAAACAAAGGAGGCAGTCATAACGCATGGGAGGCACCAAACTGGGAGATTCAGTGGCTCATTGCCCTCACAGGAGCTGCAGCAGGGAAAGCGGCCTAGCAGCCTATGGAGCAGTAAAGGACAGCAGTGGAGGGTGTGTACCTAGAGTGGAAACTGAGCCCGTGGAAACCTTACGGCAGCGGTCAAACAGCCTAATCGCAGCATTAACATCATCGTCGGGACGAGTCAAGGACGGAGGGAGCCGCGCCTGTTGCGGCTGAGCTGATGATTGTGGAGAAGGGTTTCCGTGGCGTGGGGGGGACCTCGACGGGGACCATAAGGGGAGGCTGCCGTTGCAAAGACCACCTTTTTCACGAAACTGAGAGCTTGTGTTTTTCATGTGAACCCCCAAGCCTCCAGTTCACCCGCAGTTCCCTCACCTTCCCCGCCACCCACCGCGACACTGTCCCTTACCTCATCCCCGGTCTTTGCCTAGTCCGGCATGGTCATACTACGTGGTATGGGCCTTCCACTTGCCTGGTCTGGCCTGCTGTGGCCTGCTCAGGCCTGATCTGCCCTGGCTTGCTGTGGCCTTGTCAGCAAGCACATTAATGGTGAGTCAATCCATCTGTCAGCAGATACTTTGTATGATTATGGTGCTCTTTCCCTGGACCAATCTTATTGACCATTGAGTACTAGGTGGCTTATGGCAATAGCAGAGATGTGCTAACAGCGTTTCCAAATTGGCAATTACACATACAAGCACATAACCCATAGATATTCAATCTCCTAAGCACCCATCCACCCCATATATTATACATGGTCAAGACTCTATCAAGAAACCAAAGAAACTTTAGACAGCCACACATCACACGAAGAATCATTTTTTCTTGAGTACTTCTCCACACTGGCTTCAGAATCACAATTTGGAAGTCCGATCTTGCTGGCCTTCAAGGCACCATCACACTCGCTGAGTGGGGTAAGGGAGGAGAGTAAGGCAGTCTCAACAGAAGCACACTGCAGAGGTATGATAGTGTTCTACACGGCGCTTGATGGAACATCTGGCTTGTGACGAGCCTTCATGCGATAGTGACAAGCTAGATCACATGGCATGAGAAACCAGATACCTTGGAATGTGATTGCGACAGAGCGAAGCAAGGGAAGGATCCACATGACAGGCTGTCCACCATGCCTGTGACGTACCAGATATTGGAGACCACACTGTGCACGCTGTGTGTTAAGGTTGTTAGTGCACGTGGCTATTGCCAGCGCATTTCCCTTAAAGCGTGAGGGGCACCATGTCGCGCCCTTCAAATACACAGTCCTGCAGAAGGTGCCTGTTGGTCAAGGCGATGTGAGGCACGGGTTAGAGAAGCAGCAAAGCATGGGTAGTGAATCTCTAGGACTAGTTAGGTGAGACGCGGCAGCAAGGCAGGCTAACGCCTCACCATTCTGGATCCCACGGCAAAGTGATTTCGCTTGCAAAAGCAGAAGCATTGCGGAAGAATTAGCCTTCTGGAAAGCCGGATAGAATGCAATGAGGGAAGACGAGAGAGGGCCTAATCGTTCATTTGACGTCTGGATCGTGTTCTGGTAAATTGGTTCAGTCCCATGATACGTACTATCAGCCGTCGTCTGGAGCTTGCGGTGGCGCTGCTCGTGGGCCTTGTTGGGCTGCGTGATTCTCGCCACGTCTTCTGCTGCATCAACGCCTGTCGCCTCGCTCGTTGCTGGTAGGGTAGGGCAGGTTAAGGGGAGTGAGAGGAGCGAGGGGCAGAGAGGACGTAAGTGAAGGTCGGAGCGGTTGGCCTGCAGCGGAGGCGAAAGTGAAGGCGCAATCGTGAACGCGGCGCCAGGGATATGGCTTGGGTTTTGCGGAGGTTCGGGCCGTACCTTGGGCATATGAGACGCATGAGAGCACCAGGAATGCAGCGAGGACGAGCGCGAGGCCGACGGAGAGAGCGGAGCGAGCCATGGCGATGTAAGGTGTGATTGACAAGTTTTCAATGGGAGAGTGAGAACTTTGCGGTAAAGGTGAAACGAGATTCGAGACTCAGATGGTTGCAGCATGTGTTCCTACTGTATATATAGCTCGAAAGGAAGAGCTCGACTGTATGGAGGGAAACCGCCGAGATGTGTTTGACTGTTTGCGTCACTCACGCTGCACTCGTGCCGGCGTGAAATCCGCGATACTTTTGTCTGCCCCAAACAAACTCTGGCATGACCGCTGAAGAAAACCAAGGTAGACGGTGTGAATTCTGGGGTTTCGGTACGATGCAATGTGGTTTATTACGATACCGTCAATAAAACTATGTCAATAATTCAACTCGATTGCTGTTTTCCTGAAAAAAAGAGCGCGGTAAAGGACAGACGACCAATGATCGAGGGCCATATGTAAATTTGCCACCGCACTGTGCCTACGCTTAAACTCTCTGCAGCCCACAGAGCCATCTCGAAACCCATTGAGTAAACATGTCAAGTGAGAGCAATCGTGGTTCCCAACATTCAACGCGTCCTCTGGAGTCCTATTGGTCGCCATAGATGGCAGAGAAATTTGTTAAAACTTCACTACACCCTGTTTCGCGCTAGCAGAGCATCTGGTTGCAGAACATGCACTGGTTGTAGAACGTCACCACGTTTGAAATGGTCTTATCACCGACGGTACAAGCACATTCACAAGAAAGCGGTTAGCTAGGATGCTGCATGGTAAAGAACATTAACCAAGCGTTTCAAAGCGGTTGAAAAGGGTATACAGCGATAAAGAAAAATTTTGCCCCCAGTACCACTCCGTCAGCTGGTGCGGCTTTGCCCGCAGGTTTCAGCCATACGGTTTATGGCACCTGACCGTACTATAGCAGCGAATCGCGCAAGGTGAGAGGGTCGAGAAACAGGGTGTACAAGGAAGTCAAAGTGGTTCCAAAGTGTAACGCGTCAGCTGGATTCCTATTGGTTGCCACAGAAGGCGGCGGGAATAAATAAACATTTACTACAATAAATTCTGAGGCTTTCACTTCTTGAATACCCGCAACAAAGAATGCTTCTTGGTTTCATTTCATCAATCATTTCACTTGGAGCACGACTCCTTCTGGTTATGCACAGTGATCATGGAATGTTCTGTTGTTGATTTCTTTTATAAATCACTTCTGAAAATGCGTATTGTGAAACGCAGCTTACTGTAACGCTGTAAGGCTGTGGAAACTTAATATTTGCCGAGTTGTATACTTGTATCATTATACTTGGACGATAATGTTGTAATTACTCCAGCTGTACTAAAGCACGTTGCCTTGGCAAGAACAGAAAGCAAGCTTTCTCAATCCATACATATTCATGTTCCTTGTACTACCTGTACTCAATAAATTCACTAGGCATCAGCATGCGATACAAGATTTGTACACCCAATATAAATCAATACAAAAGCACACCCAACCTTTAACTATGCACAAAATACTCAGTGCAGCAAAGACCACCTTGCAGATGTGTTGGCAGATCTGCATATGGTAACCCACTCTACTCCCTACACTTAAGCTACTGTATCAGCAACAACTCATTCCGTGAGCCAAATTGTTCTAAGCTTGAAAGGCACACCTACCCCATCGAAGTTACGAAGGTTAAACCAGTTTACGGGCTTATAATAATGAGCAGACACTCTCGCTGTCCCAGCCCTGTATAATCCCTCCTATCAAATTTCCCTATCTCTCCACTTCAACCGTCGCTCCCTCATCTTCCCCACCACCCACCGCGGCACCGCCACACTCCTCTGCTCCTATTGCCTCCCCTCCTTAGCCGACTCATACATCCCCCGTCTCCTTCTTGCCACCATTCTATCCGCCCGGTTAGCCTGCACAAAGAGCTCATGCGCAGAGGCTGCATTCCCCAGCGCCTCCTCCACCTGTGCTGCCTGCTGCAGCGATGCTGCGTTGCCCAGCTGGGCTGAGAGGGCTAGTGATAGGAGGGAACGGGCCTTGGCTAAGTTTCCCTGCTGCCGCTCCAAGCATGCGTATGCCTGCGAGACACGACGGTGAAGAGGGAGCGAGGAGAGTGGGGGGGGGGCATGAGTGTTGTGAGGGGGTGATATATGCAAGTGGAGGGAGAAGGGGCATGGAACAACTTAAAGCCGCAATACGATCACACAACACTACAAAGCAGGCTGGCGGATTCCAACAAGGGAAGAAAAAGGTAGTTGCATGCGGGGTGATGTTAGAGGGGAGGGAGCATACCTGAAGAGTGGGGACTGAGTGGGGAGCAGCCTCCAGGCAGCGGTCAAACAGCTGCCTTGCAGCCTCAACATCTCCTGCTGCATGCTCCATCACACCCCACACCTGCAACGCCCGCACACACCCAGGCTGCACCTCCAAGCACTTCACAAACAGTCCCCTGGCTGTCTCTCTGCTCTCGGGTGTGGCTAGTCGGGCCTCCTGGCACGCCCATGCGTGCAGTGTGGGGATGGACCTGGGGTTGGCTGATAGAGCCGAGCGGAAGAGGGTTCGCATGCGGTCCACCTGGCCAGCCTTTGCTTCGAGGAGGGCCCATGCCTGCGGTGGAATGAGGGATAGGAGAGAGTGCATGGGTAGGGTGAGGAGGTGGTGGGTTGTTTTTGAGACGTATGAAAAACACCCTCACTTCACATGGCCCATGCCTGCAGTGGAATGAGGGATAGGAGGAAATGCATGGGTAGGGTGAGAGGTGGTAGGTTGTTTGCTCACATCTCCATGAAGTGAGGGTGTTTTTGAGACGTCTCAAAAAGAGGGCGCATGCCTGCGGTGGAATGAGGGATAGGAGAGAGTGCATGGGCGGGGTGAGGAGGTGGTGGGTTGTTTGATCACAGCTCCATGAGAGGCGATTGCGATGCCACGCATTGAATTGCAGACAGCATACTAACAGGGAGAGCTCGAGAGCAGCGAAAGGAATCAACGAGGAAGAGAGAGTGAGAAGAGAGCAGCAGCAAGCGTATGAAGTTTTGCGCGAACAGTGATACAGTGAGTGAACCCACCTGCTAGGACGCAGCGTCAAGAGGGGCAGCAGCAGTGGACTTCTTGAAATAGCACCGGGCGGCACTCAGGTTCTTCATGGAAGCTTTCAAGAGAGTGCGTGATAGCAGAACCACCGGGCTGCCCGGCTGAAGCTTCTCTGCCTGCTCCAGCAGGTTTCGGGCAGCTTGAAAGTTCCCTTTGCGCTTCTCAGCCATGGCCCAGGCGTGAAGGCCAATCCCAAGGCTCCCACTAGGAAACGTTCCCACTAGGGAACCTGCTCTATACCATGTGAAAGAACGAGGAGTGAATGAACTAGAAAGCAGGTGGGTACAAGTAGGAAAACATAAAAGAGTTGTACCCCATACTGTCTACCCCACTACAGCCTACACATACTATAGCATATGAGTTTGACAGCAATGTGATCACGCGCGATAGAAATCTGCTGTATTGTGACTGTTCGTGATACCCCTGTGACCAAACGTAATAAAACGAGCTAAATTGTGACTGCCCGTATAATTTTCCCTCTTCAAAACTCAAAATTTTGCGAACTGATGCACTAGATGTGGCAGTCTTACTGGTTAGCCGTTGGATTCTTTTTAAGGTGAGTTGTCAGAATGTTATGCTCTAGCCTGTAGTGTGGTGCTCTAAAGCGAGTACAACCCTTCTAGGGTTTCCTATTTGTATCCTCATTCTTGCTAGTGCAAGCCCTCTTTGCCTAAACTGTTCTTGCCTAGCTAGGGCTTTCCTAGCTATGGCTCCTAAGACTTCTACTCACTTTCACATGGAATCAGAGCTATATGCTCCTGGCCTGTGGGCCCCACGTAACTGCTTCCGCTGCTACTGCTACTCCCTGTCCGCAGCGCGCCCCGTGGTGCGCAGCGTCGAGTTTAGGGTTTTCATCCCGACGCGTGCTCGAAGCGTGCGGCGGTTTTCTGCCCGCCGTTCGCCCCGAGGCGCGCGGCGGTTTTCTGCCCGCCGTGCGCCCAGAGGCGCGCGGCGGTTCTCTGCCCGCCGTGCTCCCCGAGGCGCGCGGTGGGTTTCTACCCCGTCACGCCGCGCGTCGCTCTGGGGAGGCGCTGCGACGGGCGACGGGGACCTGCGCGTCGCCCCCCGTCGCCCGTCGTGGCCTGCGCGCGGCCCGTACGGGCTGCGCCAGGCCCGCGCGCGGCCCGTATGGGCGGCGCCAGGCCCGCGCGCTGCTCGGGCCGCCTGCGCGCGGTTCGGGAGGCTGTCCCAGGCCCATGGGCGGCCCGTTCCTCGCTGCCCCTGCCCTCCCCGCTGTCCCCCGTGCTTCTTATGGCGCCCCACCCCTCCTACTGCCCGTTCTCCTGGATTAGGATTTGGGGGTGGGGGGTCTTGGGGTGCAGCTTGTGTGTGCCGTTACCTGCTCCTCCTCCTCCTCCGTCTCCCTGTGCTGCAGCTGCCGCTGAGGGGGGGTGGACCTGTTGGAGCCGTTGGAGCTGTACTAAGGGGGGGTGAAGGGGGAGTGGAGCTAGGGGTGTAGCAGCGGGTGTGTGTCAAGGGGGGTGGGACTGTTTGGGGAAGCTGAACGGAGGTTGCCGTCGTGTCGCCAGCAGCACCTTTAGTCCGGGGAGTTGCTCCGGTAGCCCAGCTGCAGCCACCTGTGCCAGTCGCCCGTGGGTCCATTGCTCGTCTGCCGCTACTTTAGCCGCGGGGCCAGTTACTCCAGTAGTCCGGAGCGTTGTTCCAGTAGCCGCTGTGCTAGTGTGCCTCCTGTTGCCCGTGTGTTTGCAGCTTCAGCCGTCGCCTCCTATCACCTCTCCTCTCACTTTCCCTCCTCCTCCTCACTTGCCCGTTGTGACTACCACTAGCTTTGCTCATCATTGTGAACTTTAAACTTTTGCTTTTTGAACTTGTGCTCAGAATGTGTGGTGACATTGTGATCCACCCTGAGCTTGTTCTGCTTTGCTT